CCTTTTCGACCAGTTCGTTTGCGACAATTGTTGCAATCATAATTTTAACTTCGTCCACCATTTTGTCCAGCTGTCTAACTAGGAATAATTGTTCACCATGATTTGAAGTACCAAAACTACCATTTCCTTTGCCTCAGGATTATTTTCACTGTTAAACCTATATTCAGAATATAAAAATAAAGCTCTGTACCAATAATTGAGTTTTTATCTTAAAATTTAATGCATTTTTAAATTTATTTAAAATTTGCAGTTTTTGAAAATTTTTATTTCCTGGAGCTAGATCACTTTGAAAATAAGCTCTTCAATTAATGAGTTTTGTGAAATTAATTCATAGTACACATTTTAACACATTAAAAAAATTTTTAATTTTTATGTACCAAATACAGTACAGTATATCTATTTGTGTTAGTTGTTTTTGACTCACTCTTCCTTTTAAGTTATGTAATCTAATTCTAAACTTTTCACTAAACTGAACAACTCTGCACAATAATTAGCAAGAGCAATAATAAAAACAAACAAGTGTGCTGTACTGTACATATTATTGCCACCAGTACTGTACATGCCATGGTAATCTGATTACTTAAGCAAGATTTTATAAATTAAACAAAAACATTCAAACATTCATTCTTACCTGTTATTATCTTTGTGCGCTCCAATTCTTTTCAAAAATGATTCAGGTAGACTAGGAAATGAAGAATCATTTCCTGTATAAGGATATATTATTTCCTGATTAATGATAGTTTCTCCTGATTCTAATTCGAAACTTCCATTTGCACTTCCTTTTGCTGATTCTGTTTCAGAATTTTCTTTTAAGTCTGGCATCTGCATTTTTCCTTTATTCACCAACTCTCGTTTCTTTGAATTTGGCTTAAAATGATAATTTTCAAATATTTGTAAAAACGAATTTAATTATATTTTAACAATTACTATTAAAACAACTATTTTTATTTAAAGATTTTGTTAGATAAAATTTTAATTTTATTTTTAACCGGCGATCATGGGAAT